AAATGCCCTCCATTGAGCAAATTTTCTCCATTTAAAATTAATTACGGCTTCCATGGCAGGTTCACCAAACATTTCATATCTACCCGACAACACTTCTTTAATAAAAGGTGAACGGTTTTTACGATACATTAAATAATTTATAATATAACGTAACATTGGTACTCTACTTGACTCCACAGGTTTTTGTATACTTTTTGGTGTAGGTTTATATACAGTGAAGTCTGGTAATGGTACAACGCATTCTCTAGCTGCATGCGTTTTATGTGGTATCCTAACGAATTCGGTCGCACTTTCCACTTGCCTATCAAATTCTCTTTCACTTTTTGACCACAATGTCATTAATCTTTGCCACATATTCTCTTTAGATTCATATTCTAATTCTTCAATCTTTGCATATGCATAAATTTCTTCATGATCCGTTCTAATAATATCATCTCTAACGGGTAAATAACTAATTCTTCTCAAAAATTCTAATGCAAAATCCGGATAAACCGTTCTTAAAGAAGCAAAGGCCGGTACAACTGTTATCGTCCACGATACTGGATTTTCTTCGCATCTTCTACAATAATATTTTAATAAAGAATGTACAACTTCGGTTTTACCAAGACTGATTGCCCTTGCCAATGCAGATTTTGTTCTATCATCATCATGAAACCTTGGTATATGTTTGTCCGTTTTTAAATGTTCCTTGATTAATTTATCGGCATATGAACAATCTGCTTTAATTAAGATCTCCAATGGTGATTGACCTTCGACTATTTGATTGAATATATGCGGATTTTTGTGTATGGCATTGGAAACTATTGCTTGACACTGTGTGAGTAATGTTCTAAAATAAGGATATACGTTTCCAGAACTAATTTGAATCCAATTTAATCTTTCAGCATAAGCTAAAAACCCTAAAGATTTTGCGGCATTTGATACAATACCATACGTGCCAAATTCATTTTCATTTGGTAGAAATAGATCAAATTTGAATTGATTTTTAGATTCTAATTTGGTGATCGTCATTGCTCCAGGAGGTACATTACCAATCGTATTATCTGAAGGATGATTATTTACTCTATTGTTGAGAAAAAAGAAAGAAAAAAAAAAAGAAAGTGATTAAAAGGAAATAGCTTTTTTTTTTTTAAAAAAAAAAAAATAGAAATCATTAAAAAAATCGGATTACTTTGAAAATCCAATTTGATCTTGGTCATTTACTTGACATCGAAGTTCCAACGTATATCGACCATCTTGACATTTTCGAAGAGTAGCATTTTCAATGGTGGCATATGTCGTCAATGGAGTTTGTCTCCATTTATCCTAATAATCAGTTAAATTTGATTAAAAAGAAAATATAATATACAAAGAATTTTAAAAATCTCAAATGTGATTTTGACATATACATACTCTCATGGGACGACACCAAATGTATTGTAAACGTGGGGTTTCATCGTCTTTAAAGATCCAAATTTGTACAGTATAGTGACCAATAAACAAAACTCTTTTCATATCAGGATCCAAACAAAATCCAGATTTAATAGGTGAGTAAATTAGCCAAGGTTCGATACGTAATTTCACAATCGGATGATCATCGCTTAAAATTGATTCGCTTTGACGACCGGGAAGATATTCAAACAACAATACTTTACTATTGTCGTATTGATAAATTTTATTAAAACCTAATGCTAAAAAATGATGTCTACCAATCATTTGTTGCTTTGAAAAATCATTTTGAACATGAAAAGATTTTGGAGTTTTGATTCCATTTAACTTTGGTAAATCATTTTTAAAAGTGACATAAATATCTTTTCCGTTTGGTTCAAATAAGCAAGTAGGATCTATATTATCAAATCTACTAACAGGTGCACAAGTATAAATATCCCATATTTGCACACAATTATCTGTTGAATTTTTTCCAGTTGAATTAATTGTTATTATATGCTCATCACCTTCTAACCAAAAAATTTCTTTTCTACTTACATCACTATCAACATCTAATGATTTTTCTTTTTTGTCATCGTTATGTAATGATGATGCAAATGTAAGACCTCCTTCGCATAAAAATATTGTTAAGACACCTTTTGACGTCCATGTTGCCAACATTTGTTGATCATGAGATAACGCGAATAATGTTGGTGAAGAATCGGCGTCAAGAAATGAATCCTTTGATAAACATTTGAAACGCGAAACTAATTGTCCAGTTGATAACGACCACAACAAGGCTGTATCCCACTTTATTTTTTTAAAATAAAAAAAATTAATTAAAGATTACTACAACTTTTGTTTCTAATCACGCACTTTTTGAATCATACCTGTTCGACGAAAATAAAATGTCCTGGTAAAAGTGAATTTTTAACAATTTTCATTTGAGACCAAGGATGAGGGATAACTTGCAGAGTATCAGAAAAATTATCGATTATAAGTTTGTGCCGAATCTTCCAATGATTAGTGGAAATAACATAAATACAATTATTTTCCTCATTTTGCGGATCAAAATTATTATGTTCAATATTACAAATAATAAATGATTCTTTATCTTCAGTAAATTTGATCGTTCCAGTTAATTTCATTAAATATTTACGAAATACTGGTCTATCGCGCGATGTTCTAACTATGTAAGTATAAAATTTGGTGCATTTATCTGGGGGAGGATGAACCAGTTCAAATGCTAATTGATTCCTATCTTGTGGTAATTTTACCAAACTTAAAGCAACGTATTTTCCATCGTTTGATAATGCAAAGTCTATATTTGTCATTGATATCTTTTGAGTAAATGATGATGCGAAACTTTCTCTTTGCTCCATATAGTCACGAGGCTTTAAATCTGATGTCATTGGATTTGAATGCCAAATTGGTTCGAGCCTACGACTAGTTACAAACGTTTCATCAAATCTTATATCTGGTACATTCCATATTACTAATTTCCCTTCCTTTGAAGCATACGTTGCTAAAAACTTTCCATTTGAGGAAAATGTAGCTGCATCTATTACTTGTTTAAATGGCAATGATGAAATTTGCGGTATTTCGATCTTTGTATCTACCATCTTTTCATCAAAAACATCTTTACTACTACCAGGTGTATATGTTGAAGTGTTTTTCTTTTCTTGAATTTCTTCCATTATTATTAATAAATTATAAAATTATTGTCATTTATGAAAAACTATAATACAAGAGAACGAAAAGAAATTAAATCATTGTACGAGAAAACAAATTCATTAAATAATAGAAAATTTTTATTCTACACATCTTTCCAAATGTGGCGAAAAAAAAATTTTTTTAATTTAAAAGCGGGTAAAGTATCAGGAAAATATGGCTAAGTAACATGGTAAGGCTGAAACGGTAATCACACAATCAATCACATTTCACGTTAGATAACTTGCAGATTTGCAGTAATAATAATTAAAATAAAGCAAATAAAGACGTAATTGCCGAAATTTTACGAGGGCTTCTAGGCTTTTTATTATTATTATTATTATTATTATATTTATTTAGTCTCGATTAATTTTTTTTTCTGTGAAGAAAATTAAGTACCTAACCGCAGCAATTCGCCATATTTGTTTATTATTGAATTATTCAACAATAAAGACATTTGATTTTATACAGTAATTAGCTCGATTTAATTTTGTTTCTTGTGTCATTTGTTGGGCGACCTTGAAATATTTTACATATTTTTACGCGTAGGAATAGGATCAGATTCATTTCATCGCTACATCTTAACATATAAATTTATATGAAAGCAGAAAATTAAATGTTTACTATAAAAAAAAGTCAAAAAATATATTATTTTCTAAAAGAATTCTATTTTATTTAATTATTATTTTTGATTGAGATTAATGCTAAATTCTTAAAAAAAATTTTATTGTGCAATTAAAGAAATTAAAGATGAAGGTTTTGATAATTATCCAATCAGAATCTGTGTAGCAGATGATTAAAACGATAAACCTTTAAGCTATAAAAAATATTTCATCTAAAAGTCTGCCTTTGCCCCAAATCATTCTTCTTATCCCACTTCTGTTGTGAAGATGGGAGAATGTGGTCGTTCACCTACATGGCTGAGCATAATACCTTCGAGTATAAATTTGGATCACGTGTACGATCGATTAAAACATGTTGCGTCATTTATTTCGCGAAATTTTTCTTTTTCTTTTCTTCCTTGCTAATCTAAGCTTACTAGAGCGTAAACTTAAAGCGATGCCTCGATTTTACTATCCCTGCAAAATTCTTGACCGTATATTCGCTGTCTAGTTGCTTTGCTTAACTGGGCGTTTATACCTTTACACATTCGTGTGTATTGCTCCCCTGCTGTGAAGGGAGAAATGTATTTCGCAGTACGTCCTTCTTGAAGTTTCCTTTCGAATTTTTATTCGGTTCCCTTTTCTTTAGAAGGAAGTATTGATAAAGTGAATGAATTGGTTTAAGATAATGATTAAACCTCGCGTAACACGAAGCATTTTCTTAATACCAAAAGAAAAGCCATAAATAATGGGAAATGATTTTTGATATGGAAGAACGACCAAACTGTTTTTCCAAGACAAAAAAAAAACCAAATTAAATTTATACATTATTTATATCATATCTTTCCCGTCAGGCAGGGATTCCGATAATGAAACTATTGAATTGTTGAATTGGTTATGATAATAAAGAGTGTCTTGGCTTTGGATTCATCAAAAATACCAAATTTAGATTAAATGATGACAATGTTCTGATAATCTATTCTCTATCCTAAACGAACCTTGCCACCTCTACGCGGTGTTTGGGAGAAACAGTTATGAGATGACTCATATCTGGCCAAGTGCAAGCATTTTATAGTTGGAAAAAGAAATTTTTATTTTTTGCTTTATTTTTTTTTGTAATATGTACAATCATATCATATTATGTAATAAACAATTATGTGTTAAATACTAATGAATAAAACTTTCGTTGATAAAATTACTCGAAATCATTTATTTTGTTGTTTGAATTCTTTACTATTCGTAATCATAATATATATAATTATGCTTACTTTGTTGAATGTCTTATTCAGATTTCTAAGTTTTAAAAAAAAAAAAAATACATAATTTAAATAATCTTACTTAGAATTCCTTGACTCCATTAAATTCACCTTTCATCTTCTCATCCAACTTCTCTTCTTGCATCCTTTTTTCTTTCGTTTGCTTTAGAAAAGGAATAACTTCTTCATAAACATGTTGTGTGTAAGTAATTTTAACAGTTTCAAATAGAGCCCTGGGAACGTCAAATTTATCCATAATAACTTCAACAATTTGAATTTTATCCGGAGAAAATTGATGAATAAAGGATCCTACTTCATCTTTGGTTGAGATCCTAACGGAATTTCCTTAAAGGAAGGAATCAAAAAATTAAACATTATCATATTTTATTGCGCAAAAGTATTAAGTTGTGAGTAAGTTGTTACCTTTTCCTGCCCCACCAAAATATTCCAAAGTTTTACAGAAATCCCATTGTTGTATATCATTATATTCACGTTTAAGTCCATGAAGTGTTCGTTCGATGGTATATCCTTCGTTGTTAAGAATAAAAATAATGGGTTGAATGTTGTGACGAATCATGGTGGAAATTTCTTGTACGGTCACTTGACTTTTTTTTTTTTTAAAAAAAAAAGAAAAAAAAAATTAATAAAATTACGTAAATTTTTTCAAATATTAAATTATCTATAAAACTATATATATTAAAATGCCGTTGCAGTGAAAGTAAAAAATGCTCTGCTCCTTTAAATTTTGATTTCGAAACACAAACGGTATAACTTACAAAGATCCATCGCCAACGAATAAAATAACGCGTCTTTTCATTTGATTATTTCTCGCAGCTAAAGCAGCGCCCAAAGTAGCACCGACGCTATATCCGATACTTCCGTACAAGATTTGACTAATAAATGTTGCACCTTTAGGAAACTTAATGTCCATTAATCCAAACATTGAAGTACCAGTATCTGCTATAATAATATCATTTGGTTTTAAAAATTTTGAAGAAATCTCTCTCCAAAACCAATTTTGAACAATCCGTTTAGATTCTATTTGTTCAGGTAGTAATCGATATTGATATGGGGGTTGAATTTGTGGATTATAATGCAAATCTTCCAAGCATGACGTGATTTTAGGCAAGATTTGTTTCAATGAAAGATCTTCGTAACTTGCAAAGAAAACTTTCACATTTTCGTGTCCAAATTCTATGGTTTTTGCTTGATTTACATGGTAAGAAAATCCTCTAGACAAATTAATAAAGAAATTAGTTATTAAAGAAAAGTAAACTAATTAATATGATGGACTTTAATTACCCCGTGTTGTAATCTGACTTGATCGAACCGACAGAAATGATTAAATCAGCATGTTCAACTTCACTTCTGATATGAGATTCGCTTACATTTCCAATATAAATTCCACCAAATTGCGGATGATCTTCAGAAATAATCCCCTTACCCATTGGCGAGGTAAAAAATGGAAGACCAGTTTTTTCAACAAATTCCAATAGTTCATTAGTAGCATTATAACGGGAAGTTCCAGCATCGACTAGAACAATTACACGATTCGCTTTACGGATAATTTCAACTATTTGGTTTATAGCAGCATATTCGACATCATGATGATTTTTGGGTAAGGATAAACTTAAAAGATCCTCCGAGAGATCTGTGGCAACATCAATTTCTTGATGACAAACATCAAACGGTAGGGAGATATAAACTGGTCTCGCTTTTATATAACATTCTCTCAATACTCGATCAATCTCGTATTTTGCATTGTTTTGATTGAGACAAGTTTGGGCTACCGTAATTTCTTCGTACATTCTCTTGTAAATTTTAAAATCGCCGTTGCCAAGGGTATGATGCAATATTGCCCCCTCGGATTGAGATTTGGTGGACGGGGTCCCTACTATATGTACAACTGGAACTATTTCCGAGAATGAACCCGCGATGGCATTGATTGCCGAAAGTTCACCTACCCCAAAAGTTGTTATCAAGGCCTAAAAATATGATAAAAAGAAATATTAACCACGAAACTTTTTCTGAAGAAACGGCAAAACTACTTACGGAGATTTTATTAATCCTTGCATAACCATCAGCTGCATAACCACTATTCAATTCATTACATCCCCCAATCCATTCAATTCCTTCTTCATCTTCTACATAATCCAAAATGTCCATATTGAAATCACCAGGTACTCCAAATACATGTTTGATACCCAATTCCTTTAATCTTTTAATTAAATAAGTTCCAACTTTCATCATTTTTCTTTCGAATGTTTTTAGATGAGTTGAGAATTTTTTTTTTTTATGTTGGAATTGTTTCTGACGTAATAATGGTATAATAAATACGAGGGGTGAATTTATTTTATCTTGGGTAAGTATGGATTTGGGCGTTAACATTTAATTGAAAAATCACTTTCTCGCTTGTACATAAAAAGTTACATTTACTTTGAATTTTTTTTTTTATATGTAATGGTAGAGAACGGTTAGCTACGATCTGGTTAATTAACCATTAATATTAACCCTTTAATATATAAATAGAATACAGCGCTAACTCCGCTGATATATTATCCCTTCGTCTGTAAGACTTTCACATGCTACTATGTTTTATGCAGGCAAATTTGCCTGCGTTACAGACGAAGATAAAGCAAATTAATAAATAACTTCCGTTCGTTCGATGTTTGTCCTGTCAAACGATTTAGATTTTTCTTTATATCGCGCAAGTTTATTTTTTGGCAATTGAATGTCAAATCCGTTCGTTCGAATATTCGAATATCAATTAATGATCAGAAGCGAATTTCGAAGTTATTATAATTCAAAATTTTTTTGGGGGTTAAAATTACAAATTTAACAAATTTCGATTTCTAATTCTAATAAATATAAATATATATATTTTTAATAATCAAATCCCGAATAACGAAATTTTGATAATCTTTTTGCTCGTAAAAAAATTTAATTACGAATAAACTTGGTATTATATTAATTTCTAAATAAAAGTTATAAATAAAAAAATATCCTTTGAAAGTGTTAAATGGATTATATGTCTTGAGTGGGTAAAATGAATCGATATCATCTTAATCTATCATTAAAATGGCCTCCACTTCATCAACCGTTCTTACCAAGATTGTATTAGGAAATTCATATCGATTTTTTGGATCTCTAATAGCATCGCTAACTTTTCTATAAGCTTCAATAAACATCTTACTTACTCTTTGATTAACTTTTTTAACTAATGGTTTTGGATGACCTTTGAGTTTAAAGGTATCACTATCTGTCAATGATAAAAATGAATCTAATCTTGCCATTATATTTGTTAATGATTTTGGATCCATATAATGCACGAGTGATAATGGCGTCTATTTATTGAGATGAAGTAAATTTTTGTGAGATTTATTTCGTTTCATTTTTCACTTTTTTTTTTAAACGAGGGAATATTTTATTGCTTACATTTTCATCCTTTGTTTCTATTGCTTGTACAATTGGTTTTAATCCAGATTGTCTTAAGAGATTTATATACTATAATAATATAATTATTATTAATAAAGTGATTATTCTAAATTAAATTTCGATTTAAAAATTTAAAAAAAAACCATTATTCAAACCTGTTCATCAACCAAGATTTCCAAATTTTCTTCGATTCTTCTCTCAATGTCCATAACACGACCGTGTGTGAAATCATACAAGGTTAAGGCGGACTATTAAAAGAAATTTATTAACTACTTTTTTTTTCACATGTAATAAAAAAAAAATTTGATATCTTAATTTCATATTTCACCTGAACATAATGAAGACAATTCACCATGTAAATTGCTTGATTAAATCTAGTTAAATCTTTTGCACCTAATTCACACATTTGAAATAAAGGATCTAATATTGCATCCAAAACTGTTTTAAAATCTGCTTCCCTTTCTGATGCTGTAACTAAAGAGGTCTCATATGATGTCATTATAGCTTTCTATAAATATCATATCAAAATATTTTAGATTGAAATCATCGTGGGGAAAATTCCTTTGACTCAATTCAATTTACCAATTGTAATAAAACTTCTTTAACTGCAGGTGGTGGGGACAAATCAGGACTTGGGGTCTTAAAAAAAAAAAAATTTAATACATAAAGGCATTAAAGTTGAAATTATTTGAATAAAATTAAATTACTTGAATAAATCTCAATAATTGTTCGGCTTTTGTATTTAAAGTATTATAAAACACTCTGGATGCAGTTTCTGTAATACTAGAGAAAACAATTAAAAAATGGTTAAGACTTAGTAATATAAAAAATTATTTTTTGTCTTGTTAACTTACATTTCAAGCGTATTGGATAAATTTGCATTGGGACCCAAAATTCTTGCAATGGTAATTTTATAAAATTGAATCAAATTTAAAATTCTATATCCTGTTATAGCACCAATTTGAGATCCAATAACTTGTTCTACACGAGTCTATAATATTAATGGAATCCTATTAACTAATTTGAACGAAGGCCATTTCACTTTAATCGAAAGGTATTATACCATAAGTGGTCGACAAGTTCCATCAAGGTCCCGATCCAACAAGTCTTGTATAATAATATCATCACTCTCTCTCACTAAATTTTCTTCTTGAGTAATTTCACCATTTAAGCCTAATAAATAAATATTTAAGAAATCATTATAAAAAATGTAGTAAAAAAAAATTTTTTATCGGTATTTACCTAGCTTGGGTTCAAATAATCCTTCTAAAAATTCCCTTTCACCGGCAACAGTTTGGTGAATCCATGCCAACATATCACCAACATAACGTAATGGATCATGCGAATGTAGCTCAATAGGTTTAGGAGTTCCTCCAGGACCTCCTCTTATTAAAGCATCCATGAAGGCTCTAGAAACGGAATTTCGTCGAATGTGAACGAGTTCTTCTAAGCAAGACCTTAATTAGGAGGGTAAAATAAATTTTTTTTTTAAAAAAAAAAAAAAAACAAGGAAACTTTCTCATTAAAACCATAACATGAATTTTGTACATACTGAAAAAGAACAGGCCGCTGTTTTAAAGCTTTCAGTGCTTTTCTCATTATATTTGGTACTTCCAACGATCCCCTACCTAAAGTTCTAGTTTCAGTTTGTGTCCATCTATACAATTTGTCAAACGCCGTTTCTTGACAAGCATTCATCCTTTCCATAATTTCCAAACTTAATTTTTTTTAAAGAAAGAAATATATAATAAATACAATTGATCTAATTTCACAAGATTTTGATAACTTAAATTGTGTATATACCCGGCTCTTTGATTTTCAGTAATTAAAAGTGCATCACAATCTCCATGAATTTGTTGTAAATGCTTCAAAGCATCAAAGAATTCAATTCCTACCTCCGAATCAGGTGATGTTAACACATGAATTTCTTTTTCGGAGAGAGTAAACCTTTTTAAGAATGCATCTATTAAATTTTTCCTTATTTTACACGTTTCCCTAAATAAAATCAAATAATAATAAGTATTAAAGTTTTGTTATATTGTAATTTAGTGAGCTAACCTTTGAGATTTTAAGCCATCACTTTGTTCTAATAATACTGCCGTTTGTTTCTTTGCGGATTCCAAACTTTTTCCAATTTCATCACAAAAAGTATTCATATCTTTAACTTCTGATTCAATAACCGCTAATTGCTAAAAAAAAAAAAAAAAAAGGAAAACAAAGTATTATAATTAAAAGAATTTTCATATTTCAATAAGAATTTATAATAAATAAAATAATAAACTTATACCTCCGTAATTTTACCAAAAATTTCTAAAAATTTTCTATTAGTTTCAATAGATTTTTGTTCGATCTTACCTCTTAAATTTCTACGAGCGATCATAGAATTTTTATTATCATCATGATTATAGAATTCAGATAAAGCTTCTAATGCTACTTTAGTTTTCGTATCATCTATTGGATTAAGTAAAATTTTGGAAACTTTTAGTGAGATTGGATTATCTTCTTGTGGTGGAGGAGTTGTTGGGGTTTTTGTCGCAATATTAGTATTTGATGAACGTACCAGGGGAGGTGTAATTGGTTTTACAGGATCAACCATTTTCAATGAATTTAAAGTTTTTTTTTTTTTGTTTTATTGTTTTTTCGGAAACAAATGATGCTAGCGTGGTACATGAGATCCTTTCACGTGACTTATTGGATCTCCAAATGTGGGGCTTTTCATATTTATAAAATCAGCCTTTGATGAGTGCTTTATTAATTTAAATACATACATTTTTTATTGTCACCTTTGCCCTACGAATTTATTTATACGGCCGAAGGAATTCATTTTAATCACTGGGGTTGTATATGTTTTGTGATCAGCACATGACCGTCTGTCCCATCACCATAAAAAAGAATTGTTCTTCCCTCGAAATGGTGTGATTTTTTTTGATTAAATCAATTTTTTTTTCAATTGAATTTTTAGCCACCATTGATAGGAATATCCCAAAATAGATCGCCCGAAATCCAATGGTGTAACAACTTTACATATTATATTTATTATCACACATCATAAACATTGACAGAGTATCAAAAATAATAAACAAGTTGTTTAACCGAAAAGGGAATGAATTCAAAATCATTGTACAATGGAAAGAATAGAAAAAAATTGAAATATTTCATTGATAAATTGACTGAATTCAGGACGAAAGATAATTTTTTTTTTTTTTTGCTCATGAGTATCTTTAATCTTCTTTATAAGGAAATAGATGAAACAAAAGTATATAATTTTATAAATGGACATTTTTTGTTCAAATAGTATAAATAAAAAGCTTTATTTGTATATAATTTTATAATTAGCATATAGATTAAATTCTTTTTCATCAGAATTTTTTTTTTTTAAATAATGTTTACAATTGAGGCATTACGAAGGCCAACGGAGCCAAGATTTTTTAAGTTAATTCGATTAGGATACATTATATGTTTCTTGTTTATATTAGGTTATTTTTTGTTTCTCCAAATCAGGTCTTTTACAATTGGGTTAGGTAAACCAAACATAGTTGTAAGTCATTCAAGAGTACGTCCAAACTTTCCAGGTAATTTATTGAAAATTCTTTCAATCATTTCCGGAATATCAGAACTTTAATTTGTTTATCTTCCTTTATGTTAGGATTTACCATATGTCCGAATGAACCTAACACAACTCGTTATTTAAATGACCCTGAAACGGATATAACAACCTTCTTGAAAAAACGAACACCTCAAGAAACGACTCCACCAAATGAAACGACTCCACCCCTTCCGGCAACAAATGATTATAGTTTTGAGATCACGTGTGAATTTCGTAATGTATACGGACCGGGAATCTTAACAGGTGCATTAGAAGATCTCAGGACGGAAGAAACTATACCTTGTGATCTATTCTTACGTAAAGGATTAGGTTGTTATCAGTTTCGTCCTCAACTGGAAGAAACCAGTGATGATGATAAAAATGATCCGTCATTCGTTTATGAGAATTATGTGATATTTAAAATTCGTAATATGACACAAGCATCCCTAGTACCTTATTTCGCTTTATTTTTTGATCGATATTTTCATAAAGGAGATGATTTTAAATTCATCTCCCGTCTTCCCCCTGATCAACCAAAATTACAACAACAAAAAGCCATAGTATATAATTGGAACTCTATTGATATTACTAAAACGAATTTTTTTGAATATAGCATTGCTATATTACAAGCTTACTCAACTCCTTATTTGGGTCAACTTGGATTACCACCGGATGTCAATCTTCTCAAGTTTGAAGTTGAAAAGGTTTTATTACCAGACATGAACGTAGATGGGGAAATTGTTTTTATCGTTAAACCTAAACAACCTTATCAAATTCGGTATGAAGCAGAATTTTATAATTCTCATCGTAAGTAGAAAAAAAAGTCGAAGGAAAAAAATTTATTATTACTATTATTATTATTTATTATTATGAAATTATTAACAGGTTTCATTTGATTTATTCCAATAGCTATAAACATTGTCGCAAACTTTGGAGGTTTTTATGGTGCCGTTATTGGATTTTTTGGCTTTTTATTTGGTAGCCCAAGACTTTCACCATGGTACAATACATAGCATACATAAATAAATATTTTTATTTATCGAGAAATTTCTTTTTTTCATTAACAATTCTTCATTCATTTATTAGGGGCGTTTTTCAAAGATATTGTTTCAGATGTTGGCCGTGCAGAAGAAGTTTCAAGAGACATTTAGCAGCACGGTACGTTTCATCAGCCGGTATACCATTGGGAGAATATGTTGAAGAACGTCCTGAAGGTTCTACCTTAGAAAGGCGTGTACAAATTTTAGAGACTTTGCTAAAAGAATATTATATCGATTCTTATTATTTGGACACTTTAAGGGAGACTAAAATAAGATATCAGTTGCAAAAAGAAAGATATCATCGTTTGGAAGGATTGGCAGAATCAGAACTTTTGGTGACTGATGATGATAGTGAACAGTTGAATGAAATTAAAATTGATCAATGAATGAAAAAATTATCTTTAATTTAGTAATTTTGACTAGGTTTTTTTTTTTTTTTTTTTTTTTTTTTTTTTTAAAAAAAAAAATTATTGTAATATAAAAAAAGTTTGGTTATTTAATATAATATATCTATAAAAAGTCATTTCTGCTTTACTTGAGACGGTGGACAGCAATTATTTGAATTGATAAACAAAAAATTTTTTTAAAAGCACACTCAATTTGTTCAGCTAATTAAAATCTAACAATATTGGAAATTTTGTGATGAGTTTATTTATGCTCGTTTACATTCTGTCAAAATCATTTATCAAGTGACAAATACGATACATTCATTAGAAGCAATAGATTAATTGATATATTATCCACAATATTCATAATTCGTTTCATATCTACAAATAGTAATGTTGATAACATGCTTATGTAATTGGTAAGCTATTACTAAATATTTTTTGATTACATCTTCAAAGAAAATGGAAATGTGTGACTTGTAAATCGGCAAATTTACGCCATAACATTCAGTGAAATAAGTAGTATGAGAAGTAATGAAGGAAACTTAAGTTAGAAATGAAACGATTTAAAGAAATAAACGAGCCAGGATGTACACATGATTTTTTTAAATACACTCCACCCAAGTTATTACTTTTTAATATTCTATCCAAATAAATAACTATTAAAAAAAAAAATTTAATAATTTGTATAATTAAATATAACTTCTTGATTAAAATTTAATCTTAAAGTTATGACGAAACGAATTCCACAACACGTGTCGATCAGATTAACCAAAGGAATTAACCAAAAGATAATTTATCAAAGAAAACTTTTTTTACAAAGTTATAAATTTTATAACAGCTAATTTCATAAGTTACGGGACAGACGAGAACATTATAAGGATTTGGAAAAGCCAACCACATTTATATATGGTAAAAATACTACTTTTTTTTAAAACTCTTGTCCATTTTTTGCTCATGATTTAATTACTTTGTAATTGTGAGTAAATGGAAAAGCGGAAATTAATCATTAAAATAGTAGTATTATGCCGCTATATTTTGAACGTAACGATTAATGTTTTTTCTTCAAAAAATTCTATACCGAGTTTACCGAAAAATTCTTCGATCACGTGATTTTGGCTCGCATTATGCATAATCCCTAAACCCTGGCCTAACCCTAAATCTAAGGATGTGATGGTTATTGTGTGACAAATATGACCTCTTTTCTGATAAAGCTGCATATTTTGAATTTCTAACAAAGTTTTTATTACCATTATTGAGATATCTGTCAATATGATAATATTCAAGATTTGATAGCCATTTTAACATATAATAATTCTATAGCCTTGCCGATGTAATTTTATAAAAGTAATTATATATGATATAAGACCTAATCGATTATTTAGCTGTTCTCTTTTTTGTTTTGCCCAGCTTTGTGAAGTATAATGATCATATAATGTAGGAATATTCTGATAATGTGCAGGTATATCTTTAGTTTGAATTCTATCTTCATAATTAATTCTTGCAGAAAATAACTGGGATCTCATATATAGTCTATATATCAATCATCAGGAACTCTTATTTTGCGAGGAGTTATACCTAAAAATTTCTTATCATTGGGAGTACCATCATTTCTCACTATATTTTAAATATGTTTTGCCCATGTATCAGGTCTCAACTTGTAAGTTCTCTAAATCTGTTGGATAACTTTTGTACTGTTAAATATGTGATATGCAATCTTTCTCTTAAGTTCATCTGAAGCAAAATAAGCATCTGAAGCTCAATAATCATAAAATTCAAGGTTTTTTTTATTTTTAGAATAAATAATATAACAAATCTCATTAATTTCATCATTGCTTAGTTTTGATGATACTTTTTTCATATTCTTTCATATAGAATTAGAATGCATTTTACCTGTTTTAGTAATGCATTTCTTTAGGTGATAATTGGTATATTTGATGGTATTTTTACAGATAACTATTAAGGAATCACATACAGTGCAATAAATATATAGTGAGCGTCTCCCAGTTTTAAATTTTTCATCTTTATATAATCTTTTAATCATTTGGATAAATTTATTCTTTAAAAAGTATTTTGGATTATATTCAAGAAGTTTCTTAAATGGATAACAAACACGAGAATACCATATTTCTGAGGTTTCATTATTGTACTTATATTGCAGATTATTTAATGTCTGCTCTACTATAGAATTTAAATCAGAATAGTAGTTAGTTTTAACCATTTTTATAGTTTGTGTTTTAGCAAATTATAGCAATTTCAGTATGTTATATCAATTCTTTATCAACCTATATTAGATAATATCATGATTTAAATTTATAGCGATTTTATTGATTTGTAGCCGATTTGAGTGACTACATGCTAATAAATCAAATTTATTTTTATTCGATTACAAACAGACCAGAAATTTATATGCTATATACAGTTTTTATATACGTGTATAGATCTAGAATGACTTTGTCTAACATTATAATCATCATTGTATTATAGTACATCTGACTCTCAGTTAGTTCCCAACACTTTCTCACAACCTTTTCATAACTCAAATTATAAGATAATAGCTTCAAATGATGTCATATAATATAAAAAATTTGATCAGCCAATCAATATTTTACATACGTAATAACTAAGCCACAATCATTATCTTAAACATCTTTTATAATCTGCAGTAAGTAAATAGTATGCATACAATATAGTAAATAGCACATAA